AGAGAGAGAGAGAGAGAGAGAGAGAGAGAGAGAGAGAGAGAGAGAGAGAGAGAGAGAGGATGTGAAACAGAGAAGAAAGAAAAGGAGAGGGCAAGCGAGCATGCCTAGACAGCATGCAGCCAGTCAACTATCCTGGTGGTCTTCCATCCACTTCTCTTTCCTGTGGCCATCATATTCGGCCTCAGTGAGCATCGGAGATTCTGTATCTATTCCTGTTTCTTGCTTTATGACTGTCCATGGTAAAAAGGCTTGGCAGAGGAAGTTAAGGAAGCGCAGGGTGTGTCGCGTGCACACACATATAATCCCAGCACTTGGGAGGCAAATGCAGGAGGATCACAAGAATTCCAGACCAGGGGCTGCTGAGAGGGCCTAACTGATAAAATGACACTGGTTCTGACTGCCGAGCATGGACACCTGGGCGTGATCCCCTGAACCAACATGGGGGTGGAGAACTGATGCCCATAAGTTGTTTTCTGACTTTTACACACACACACACACACACACACACACACACACACACACACACACACACACACGGAGTTCCAGGTCAGGCAGGACTCCATAGTGAGACCCTGTTTCAAAACAACTTTAATGTTTTTTTTCCAAAACTCAGGCTTGGAGGCACACGCCTGTGATCCGGCTCTGGCTGAGGCATGAGGATCAGATATACAGACTTGCTGAGCTATACCTTGAGGCCTTGCTGAAAATGACCAGATGGGGAAAAACAAGCAAAAACACAAGCCAAACTACAGCTAAATCCATGGGGATTTGTTAAGATCAAACACCTAGTCACAGTCTAGGTCCAGGAAGCCAGGTCCTGCCTGGCAGCTGTGCCCTCACTACCTGGCCCAGTACTGATGGCCCCTGGCTCTGGCTGCACAGGCAGATCTCCGTCCCCTTCAGTACAGATCTTCCAGCTCAGAGAGAGGACTGTTGGGAAGGAGGCGGCCCACCCACCTCCCAGCCTTCCAGGGACTTCCCTCTAACTCCTCATGACCCTGGAGTGCTGGATGAGGCTGAGCTCCCTTTAGCCATCCCATAAACAGTGTTGCCCCAGGGTTGTCTACAGGGCCACACAGGAAGAAGCCACTGTTCCTGCACTCTCAAAAGCAGTAGAAGTTGCTCAGTTTATTGGAAACCATGGGAAATTTGAGAGAAAAATTCCAAGCATCTGGTATCTCTGGGCATGCAAGATGGGTAGCTCCAGGCATCAGTCCCCCATCGGCAACCATAGGGCCTTGGTTCTTGCTGCTTGCAGACTCAGTTCGGGTCCTGCCCCTTCGACCTCCTTATCCCAGGCTCTTGGGAAGCCCCTGTTCACCCACACAGACTTGAGGTTTCCTGCAGAGGCCCATTCCACAAACTGGGAGCCCTGGGATGGGGAAACATGTGATTAGTACTGCCAGTAGTTTAGTTGCCGAACAGCTGCTTCCTTAGCAACGAGGACTTGTGCCTGAGGACATAAGGACCTGACAAGGCTGGACATTCAGATCCTGGCCAGCATTCCTTCCAGATGCAGAGGAAGTAGAGCCAGGGAACCCCCGTCTTCCCTAGTGCTCCTGTTCAAGGCTTTTGCCAATGGGGACTTCCCTTCCACCAATAGATGGTTTAGGAGGGTAGACCTGGAGCTCAGGATATTGCTAGGGTGCAGTCCTTAGCAATAGGTCTTCCAAAAAGACAACTTTGGGCAGGGGAGGCATTTAGGCCCTTTAAATGAAGACCCTCTTCCTTCAGGCAGTGGTGGCACACGCCTTTAATCCCAGTACTCAGGAGGCAGAGGCAGGTGGATCTCTGTGAGTTCAGGGCCAACCTGGTCTACTTGGTGAGTTCTAGGACAGCCAGGGCTACAGAGAAACCCTGTCTCAAATAAACCACCACCACCACCACCACCACCACCACCACCACCACCACCACCACCACCACCACCACCACCACCATCACCACCAAGGACTCTGAAGTACCTGGGCAGAACCGAAGTACCACAGGGCCTGGACTTCCTGATGTAAGGCCAGGCAGCGCGTCAGGTGGTCCTGATCTCCTGTCAGTACGTTCACAAGGCCAGCAGGAAACAGGGTGGCTATATCCTAGGATGTGAGAGAGTAAGATGCCCAGGGGTCGAGCAGCAATAGTGCAGGTGAGGAGTGGGCAGCTGGGAGTGGCTATAGGAGCTCCTACAGGGAATAGGATTTGGGTGATAGAGGCTTGGATGGGGTGCTGGGACTCGAGTTACCATGGCTACCAGGACGGAGGAGGCCAGCTGAGCTCCAGAAGACCTAGGAGCAGCCATAGGCAGGAGGGGAGGCAGAGGATTTTACCTGACAGAGCTCCAGGGCTGGAAGAGGACAAGCCCTACTGGGTACTAAGATCACAGCATTGCCGTGGGCCAGGGCGGGGGCCAGCAGTGACACAAAGGCCAGCAGAGGCCACTCATCTGGACACACCACAGCCAGCACTCCCAGTGGCTCTCGAAGCCGGAGCACAGGGCCTCTCAACCCTGTTACCTACAGGGACAGACGACACATCAAGGACAAGTTCCTAGAGCCTTCTCCATTGCCTGCCCCCTTCTCCCCTCCCCACATTTGACATGTTCCTATGTTCAGAGCAACTCCAATAAAGTGTGACCAGGGGTGCTGGTTTTGGAAACAAAACCCTGGAGCCCAGTGGCCACTGCTGGCTATGTGGATCTGAATGAGTGAAACCTCGCTGGGCCTCTGCGTCTTGCCTTCAATTTGCCATGCTCCTGCCTCAGCCTATGGAGTAGCTGAGATTTTTCAGTGTTTTGTGGTACTGTAGAGGGTTCCAAGCATGCTAGGGCTAGGCAAGTGTTCTCCCACTGAACTCTAATCCTTATTTGGGTCTGGTTCACTTTCTGATTTGTTTTGAGACAAGGTCTCTCTGTGTAGAACAGTCTAGCCTTGCACTCAGAGATCTTGCCTCTGCCTCCCAGTGCTGGGACTAAAAACGTGCACTGGGCAGGGGGAGGGGGGTGGCACACACCTTTAATCCCAGCATTTAAGAGGTAGAGGCAGGTGGATCTCTGTGATTTCGAGGCCAGCTTGGTTTACAAGAGCTAGTTCCAGGACAGGCTCCAAAGCTACAGAGAAATCCTGTCTTGGAAACAAAAACAAAACAAAACAAAAAAACCAACAGAGTGAGTTTCAGGACACCCAGGGCAACACAGAGAAGCCCTGTCTCGAAAAACAAAACAAACAAACAAACAAGGGTGCAACCCCTTCTGCTGATTTATGTATTATTTACTTAAATTATTTTGATATTTTGAGACAGGGTTTCTCTGTACAGCCCACTGACCTTGAACTGGAACATCTGTCTGCCTCTGCCTCCCGAGTACTCGCTTGATTTATTGAGTTATGTGTCTACGTGTGTGCGGGAGGTAGGGAGACACAGTTACGTGCATGTGTGAGTGTTGGAAGGGGAGCTAGGTAGTCACGGGAGGCTGTGGGCAAACCCATGCTCTGTGAGAACAGGAAGAGCTCTTAACTGTGGCCCATCTCTCTCTCTTTTATTTTGAAATGAATGAGTCAAAGTATTTTTGTTTTAATGTACCTGGTGTTTTGCCTGTATGCATGTCTGTATGAGGGTGTCAGGTACCCTGGAACTGGGGTTACAGACAGTCATGAGCTGCCATGTGATTGCTGGGAATTGAACCTGGGTCCTCTGGTTCTTAACCACTGAGCCATCTCTCCAGCCTAACACCTCTCCCTTTCCCTCCCTCCCTCCCTCCCTCCCTCCCTCCCNCCCTCCCCCTCCCTCCCTCCCTCCCTCCCTCCCTCCCTCCCTCCCTCCCTCTCTCTCTCTCTCTCTCTCTCTCTCTCTCCTGGACAAAGAATTTTACTATGTGGCCAAGGATGATCTGTCTGCCTCTATCTTCCAGGCCTGCACTACCATGCCTGTTTACAAAGCCTTCTTGTATGTAAGCGAGCCTACATTCCACAGATGTTAAATGGCATAACCTGAGAAGTTCTGACCATGTGTACCCTCGCAAACACCCTGCTGTCCTGTAAGTACTGTAACCTTCCCCTCCTGCCCTGTCTGAGCCCTCTGGGTTCTCAGCCAAGCACTGATCTGGTGCTCCTCTCATCAAGGTTAGTTGGATCTTCTAGAACTTCTGGGGCTGAGCCTGGGCTCTGACTCCTGGCTTCCTGCTTACAGGTGTCTGACCTGAAGTGTCTGGCCTTGGTCCTGAACCCACGTGCTCCAGATCTGGAGTCGCCTCACACTCAGCTCTACTTCAGTCTTGGCAACTGCAGGTGCTGCTCCGTGGCTCTCTAGTTGGGAGGCCAAGGCTGGCTTCTTCCGCTCCAGTGCAGCCGCCAGGGCACACAGCAGGACTGCTCGGGACACTAGAGACTGGGCCCCCCAGCTGTGGGCAAACGATGCAAGATATGGGAGGGGCATAGCCTGGCCCCAGCTATTCCCAGGCAGGATTCCCAGCCCAGGCGCCCTGACCTCTGGGCTTCCCAGGACTTCCGTTGGACCCTCTTACCCAGCGGCAGCCCGGTGAGCAGCTTCTACAGCACCTTGGACATCCTTGGCTCCGCCCTCAGCCACACAGCTATAGACTTTGCCTGAAGAATCCTGGATGGGCATGGAGCGCCGGGCCCCAGGAGCCTGGAAACGGCCCCCAACGAATAGCCCATAGGCAAGTGCTGGGCTGCACAGAGTGAGGGTGAGGAGGTGTTGGGTCCACTTAGACCCCATGCTCCATTATATTGGCTGGACCATTTCAGTTCCCGTGAACCTTTTGGACTCAAATTTTTATTGTCATGAACTTCTGGAGGATTCTGAATTCCTATCCCGTGAGCTTCTGTAACGAGCCTCTAGGACACTCAAATTCCTATGTCCACCAAGGTACCCCTAGATTCTTGCTTCTGGGAAAGCTCAAACCATTGTAGAACTGAAATTCTCCAGACCTAAGATTAGGGCTATGAGGTCCTAAGACCCAGAAAGCTACACTCAGAACTGGAGACCCTAAGTGTCCTCTCCAGCCTCCTCACCCTCACCCTTAGACTACCAGGCCTGCAACAGCTCACCTGGGCTCTGTTTCTGGCTCTGACGGCAGTGTGGAGGGCAGAGCAAGGCCAAATGTGTCATAGTTGAGACTCTCGCAAAGGAAGGGCTCCAAGGAAGGTGTCCCCAAGGGCCACAGATACTCAAACAGACCCTGTGAGAGACGCACGGTCACAAGGAGACCCGAGGGTGTGCAGAGATACAAATGCAAAAGGTGAGCACTCACATCTGGGCCCCCATGCCAGGAAGATCCACTCTCTTTGCAGCCACCTATGGGCACCGCGGGGTCTCGGAGGCCGTGGGCATTGATCCACACGATGCCCATCTTGAGCCTGTGAGGCAAGTAAAGACACCAGGGCATGGGAGGGCAGGGGACAGGAAGCTGGAGCAGAGGAGAGGGAGGTACTTGAGGGGGGATAGGGCAGTGGCAGAGCAGGAAAACACAGACTTACCCGTAGCCCAGCTCCAGGGCCTGCCCTAGCCTCTCACTCCACACGCTGGCACTGCCTCCCCGTGGTGTCCCATTAGCCAGGGCTAGTGCCTCCTTGGCTGTGCGGAAAGGGGAAGCCACAACCACAGGCCACGGAACCTAGAAGGGATGTCAGGGGCCTCCTGTCAGTGCTTCACCCATTGGGGGAGCAAGCTAGTGACGGTCTAGTGTGCTCACAGCCCCAAGTCACAGGGTCACCAGAATAGAAGGGCAGGGAAGGATGTCTGCAGTTTCAGAGTCTCACCTCAGCCTGGGCACACGGGGCAGCTGGAGGCAGGCCGGACACTAAGGCTGGAGAGAAGAATGGGCTATTGAAGGGTACATCGCCAGCCTGGAATACCTGGGAAGGAGAAGAAAGATACAGATATAGATGTCTGTCCTCCCTAGACCTGACTGTATCTCAACCCTCCTTCCTAAACCTCCAGGCTTTGTTCTCCTCTCTGAACTTAGGTATCCAGGGCTCCAGTCTCCTCCCTCAGACTCAGGGGTCCAGTCTCTAGCCTCCTCACTCAACCTGGACTTCCAGACCTGGTCCTCCTCCCTCAGACTCGGGTTTTGGGCTTGTCCCAAAGCAGCAGTTTCTGACTCTCAAACAGGGGTTAGGTAGCCAAGCTCTAAGACTCTATTTTATTTATTTATTTATTTATTTATTTATTTATTTATTTATTATGCATACAATATTCTGTCTGTATGTATGTCTGCAGGCCAGAAGAGGGCACCAGACCTCATTCCAGATGGTTGTGAGCCACCATGTGGTTGCTGGGAATTGAACTCAGGACCTTTGGAAGAGCAGGCAATGCTCTTAACCACTGAGCCATCTCTC